ACTCAGTTTTTAACGCTGATTCTGAATCTGATATTAGTTTTGAACTGAATTATAGTTTTGTGTACTCGAAAAGTGAGTACACTATAGAATAGTCAGTGTGTCTATCCATCCGGTTGGCTGTTTACATGATAACTTTTGACAGCAGAGTCAGATTGCAATGAAACTTTCTACACAGCTTAGTCTTGACAATATCTTGGTCGATTTCGAAGATGAGATGGACCAGCCGAGCCGTTCCCGAGTTATTGAAAAAATACCCATTTTTCTCTATAGCTTTCTGTAGAAAAAAGGACCCATCGCGACATTTAAGTAAAAGACTTTTCCTATCATAGTCAATTAAAACCCAAACTATTATATGCCATTCGATAGAGAATTTCAAGAGCTACAAAATGATGTATAAAACATAAAGAAACAAGAATGTAGACTCACCTATCACAAGGATAATTAAAGAAAACTAAGTTATATTTTGGTCCACGATCTAATTGATTCACAAGTAGAACTCTACCTTCCAATCACAGTGATGATACTTCGAGGTTTTCAGAGATGGAGAATTCGAATGTGTACTGCACTTCCATCGAAATACTATTGGTTGTGCAGTGACCAATAGAAATCAAGTTATAGAGAAACCGACTTTGGCCCCGAACAGACTGACTAATTCAAAGTGAATTAAGAAACACGATTGGCCTTTTTGCATAGCAACGCGAATTGTATTGGTTAATTCAGTTTTATCGTGTTCAGTCTGTTCGGGGCCTTTGTTAGGGTAAATCAAGGAAAAGAGTTCAAAATTGAGCTGTATTCAGTCCCAACTCCTATTGATTTGCCAACCCGCAATAAAAATCAACATTTTAAACGTTAGGTTTCGCAGTATAGTTTTGATGTTGAGACATTCTAGGATAATTGATTTGTATGATTCACTTTTTGAAGTACACATAACTCTCGGATTCAAATCCGCAGTTTCCGCATTTATTCTTAATGAAAAAAGTTCGAAAATTGTAAGATAAATATGAGACTATTGTTTATATAGATTGAGTTTGTCAATCAAATGTCGATATTTGCATCGATGTACAATTATTTATGTACTCTGTTTTACTTTTTTGTGTTCTCTTCTTATTTTTCTGCCTTTTTTTCGTATGTATCCTATATTTTCATTTTTCGTTCTGTGTTCGTATTCTCTTCTATTTTCAACTTCTCGGCCTTTTTCGTTTTTTTTTCTTTTTCTAAGCTTGTTCGTTTTTGCTTTCATTTTTATGATCGGTTCTTTCTTCTCCCCTCCCTCCTAAAAACAAGTTCTGAAAGTGTTGTATGGTACTCATTACTGTAGACGATTGCATGTTGTGAAATTAAATCTAAATTCGCTGCCGTATAAGCGCTTCTGAGCATAATAATAAATAACAATATTAAAACAAGTTTTTATGTAAGTTGCCTTCAAGGTTATTTCATTTGACATCTTTGAAGAAGCAAAATAAGAAGAGAACAGTGCATCGATCGTTATCTTTATAGTCTTTTCATTCCTTTTCTGTCCTCAGTTTTGAATTTTGCTTCTTTGTTATAGAAAAAGAACCGTATAAATAAGAATCGAGATCAAATAATCGATTAAAATTCTTTACTTTGAGTCATTGTCGATCTAATTTTTGTCCTAGGTTTTCTTGTACGCGACGTATCAATGATATTTTGCAGAAATTTTTCGATCAGATCTATTCTTTAGATTAAAGGTGAATATGTCTATTCCGGTCAATACAGACTCAAGTGAAGCAAACACATATATAACAGCTATCACATGTGATCAAATGAACGATGCTGAAAAATACATCCGAGAATACATACTTGCATGGCTTGATAAAGCAATGAACAATGATAATAGTGCTTTTGATATTAGTCTTGGTCTTATGCATACTGTTCAACAAGTTTTCACGTTTAGTGACGGTCAAAAATGCCTTGACTATTTAAGATCTGCTACCAATAAACGAGCATTTTTGGTGCTATCCTATGCGATAGATGATCAGCTCTTGAACGAATTTCTAGTATTGCCTCATCTTGAATATATATATTTTTTTGGTAGAGAAGCTATATTGAAAAAAGAACATTCGAAACTCGTCGAAATTACAAGTATACATGACTTATATAAACACCTTAACAAAGATGCGCGATCTAGCAATGAGGAAGATCAGGATACTGATTTTGCTTCATTGGAATTAAATTCATCAGTGAAATCAATACAAGAATTAGATTATGCTCGAACATTTATCTTCTATCAATTTATAATAGAAGTTCTACTTCGTCTTCCCAAAACAAATGAAATCAAAGAGCAGTTCATTTGTTTTTGTATGGAAAATACTGACGATAATCCGACCCAAACGAAGATTTTTGAGGAGTTTATCAAGAGTTATAAACCAGATGAAGCGATTGCATTGTATTCTTCAACGTCTTGTCTTCATCGACTGTTGAATCGCACTTGTCGATTGGGCAATTTAAAAGATATGTTTAGACTTGCCTTTTATATGACTGATCTTTACGCTCAATTGAAACAGTTACACCAAGAACAGTTCGATTGGACTCAAGAACGTGTACTTGTCTACAGGGGACGACGGATGCCCCTTGCAGAATTCGAGAAATTGAAAGCAAGTATTGGAGATTTGGTTGTCACAAAATCTTTTTTGTCAACGACGACTGAAAGAGATGTTGCTGTAATGTATTCTGGAAAGGATACATTAGATCCTAATATTGTTCCAGCTATAATACATATGAGAATTGACAAGCAAAAAAATGAAACAAAACCATTTGCTTTCATTCGCTATCATAGTAAAGTAAGAGAAGATGATGAAGTTCTAATATCAATCGGGATAATATTTCGAATTATTGAGGAGAAGTATAAAGTATTTTCATTATTTTAATTTTCTTTAGGCTCAATTGATCTACTTTTTTATTTTCTTCAGAATGGTGTTCATGAGTTTGTATTAGTTAGAAGTGACACCGAAGAGCAACTGGAACACAAAATCAAGGAAGATTTTCGAAGTCAAATTAGTGAAAATGAAACATTTCTCAATGTGGATTCTTCAACAGATATCGTTAAACTTTGCAAAGAAGCCCTAGATGTTTCGACGTCATCTGATGATCATATTACAAAACAACATGAAGGATCAGTTTCATTCAAAATTCTCGAGACAAAGAATACAGGTATTGATTTATTTTCGTTGAGTATTTAAAAGACATCAATATACATTTCAAAAATAAAAGTTAAGTATTTTTAGAATCGTGTTTCATAAGATCGAGATAGAAATCTAAGGTGTTTACTGTTCGAAAGAGCAATCACAATAGCATTCAATCAAGAATATCACATTTTCCTAAAAACTTTTTCGTTCTGAGAGAACTTCCGAAAAAAGTTTAGTTTTCCAGATTCAATTCAGTTTCATTTCTTCTTGTTAACAGCAAATGTTGTAGATCTTTATTTTGTTTCTCTAAAAACTTATTTCAAAACTACTGATCTGCCTTGTAATTTGAAATGGATGCTATTCCCGAATGGCACGTATAAAGTTGTAGGCGTGCATCGGATGTCAGTGGAGATACAGACAGGAATGCGTGAGTCTGGATGTCATGTTAGTGTATCCTCCTTATACACATCCACATTCATGCAGATTACATACGCATCATTCATTTTGAAAAAATCGTTAACTATAGTGTCTTTTCCATTGAAAGTGTTGGTTTGTTGTTTAGAATCGCGTTCAGTCATCACAACTCCACTTACACGGACTATAAGACTATCAAAGCAGGCATTTAGGAAACTCTACAATGAAATCTTAGAACTGAAGTGTAAATTTAACAGTATCTTTATCATTGATGTCAATCCCTTCTCTGATGATAATGATCTAGATGATAGCTCAAAGATGGCATCTTCATCTTCATCAAATTGCATTATCATTGAAGGTCGTGTTCTGCCAACAGTGGAACCTTTTAGTCTACGTTCGTTTCGTATTAGAATCACAATAGTCGAACGATATCCCTTCGAGCCTCCAAAATTAATATTATTAGATCGTATCTACCATCCAAACGTCGACGACACTGGTCGTATCTGTCTTGATTTACTGGATCCATATGAGTCCTATAAAGAATTAGTGTCACTGGCTGATATCATAAACGGTGTAGAGCGGTTACTGAGCAATCCTGATCCGAGTCATGTTATCAACATTGCAGCCGACTTACAATACAGGAAAAACCGTGATGAATTCAATCGGAAGGCATTAGCGTTCGTTCTACAGTATGGTCAACCACGCACATAGTATTGTCTCTATATCTGCAGAATTCCAGACACGCTTATAAACATCGTTTTCTCAGCACATGTATTCACAGCTTTCGTCAAGATAATCCAACAAGGATGAGGATGTGGAAAAAAATGCACTCCCGTCAGCACACGCACTTAGACTTAAACTTACACTCATATCCTGTTTTTTGTTCCTCTTCATTTTAATCGTTTATTAACTGATTGTTTTTTATTTGTAGAGATCGAAAGACGAAAATTGATTCCGTTCTTCGTAAAAGATGTTTATGTTTAAGTATTTTTTTTTTGATTGCAGATAATTGACATAGAATTTCCATTATGCATAGAGTCATTTAACCTGATTATTCTTGAAGACTTATGTCATAATAATCTATGTAAAGAAAATCATTCTTTTATCATTTCCTTCTTAAATTTCGTAGTAGTTCGAATACTTTTGAACCATAGATCTTTATTTTTGAACATCAAAATACATCTTTTATCGATTGATTTCTTATTTACAAATTAACCCTCGTAGTACAATCCAAAGTCATTTTTGACTCCACTCTCTAAAAATTTAAAAATATGTTAGAACTATTTTGCTGTTCCCAGTTTTTAAAAGCAACTAGTATTCCTTACGAATAGATATATATTGTTGAATCTAAAAAGGAATACAGGGTGTGGGTACTCTTTCTCCAACACCCACATCCCATATCTATACATGTATTATTATTATTAACGAAAGAATAAATTGTTAATCTTCTTCTGATACTAAATGATAGAGTGTTGAAGAAGAATCTTTCAAATACCATTCTTCAACAGGTAATCCATCTAAACGTTTTAGTATATTCCAGACAAGCCGTATCCATATTAAACCAAGTATAAAACAAACTCCTACTTCAATGAAACATGCATAAGATTTAGGCAACCAATTTGCAATATATAATCCCAATGTTGATGATGAGTTGTAACCTAAACTGGACAGTGTTGCAAATAGTGTCATATATGTTCCAGCGATACGTGGATCACTGATTCGTGCATAGAACCAAACGTACGAGGATATCTTTTGAAAAGATAAAACATTCACTCAGACAAAGTAATATGATCAGAATGGGATAAAAATATAATACATGAATAATTCGTGGTGTGTAGAATATATAAATATCCAACATAAGAGAACCAATTGAATGTAGAATATATCCTCTAGAAAAGGGTGTGGGTGTGGTTGTGGGTGCGTGTGGATGTGCGTGTGAGGGTGGTGTGAGTGTGGGTGGTTATGTGGTTATTGCTGTGTCGTTAATACACCTATACTCACAGTCACACCCGCACCCACACACCCATACCCACACACCCAGGACGGTTTTCCTACAAAAAGTAATTGCAACATGAGCATGTCATTATTAATCTCTCTCCTTCTCTGTAGTCTTACTATCAATATATCTCAAGGGAAGAGAAAAAGCATTGAAATATGTATGATGGAGTCACTTTTTCTTTTCTTTTTGTATATGCAGTATTTCGTATTTACCCGTGGGGAAAGAGAATGGAAAAATGCTCTTGAATGGACTAGATGAATGCATCCAATAGTGATGATGATGTTTGTATTGAACTGAACAATAAAGCAACATTTCGTAGAAACACAGCGAAAAAAGTGAAGTTTTGTCTAATTGTCTCAAAAAATCAGGTAGAAGCTCACGGAAAAAAATGTCTATGTCTTCTGAACGATACGGGTGAAAACTCCAGGCCTTGGACAGTTTTGAAAGTCTTCAATTGACGCTTCTAATGTACTCCTGATGATTCAACGCGATACATAGATTTCCAGAACAGCTCAATTCAAAAACCTTAAAAGAAAACTTGCCAAAAATATCTGCAGTATCCGATTAGATGTCGTTTGAGTCTCTCTTTCTAACGGTAAAAATCGCAGATCTTTATGTTGTTTCTATGGAAAATTTTTCGAAAAACACTCACAACGTTTCTTTTTTTGAAACGAATATTAACCCTAGTACGCCTGTGCTTTTTTACGCACTACAGTAGCAATATATGCTTCTATAAAATTATTTTCTCTATTCTAAGGCCACTATCCTGACAAAAGGGTGGGTGTGGGTGTGGGTGGGTGTGAGGTGTGTTTGTGGGTGTGTTTGTGGGTGTGGGTGTGGATGTGGGTGTGGGTGTGGATGTGGGTGTGGATGTGGGTGTGGGTGTGGATGTGGGTGTGAGTGTATGTATGTTCTCATCACACATCCACACCCACACCCACACACCCACATCCTGTTCTCGTACAGTTAATTGACGAAAATTTAACTGTTGAATAGTCATCGATAGTGAAAAAATGATTGGCTCGCATCTACCAAGATGACATATTTTCAAACGAGAAAATTCACCACGAAATATGAGTTGTGTTAATTTAGGTGAAGTAGCTGGTAAAACTAATGATTGCAATCGAGAATAAATATTAGAACAAATAATTTTTTCAATTTCATTAGAATAATAAGGAAACCATCCGTCATCCTATGTCGGATAAATTTCAGATAAACGATTACTACCGTTTATAGGATGAGATTGACAATTACAATGCATATATCGTCTATGAAACTTGACGAGAATTTTATTAAATGAGGAGAAGAAAGAAAGAACAGAAGGATCTAAATGTTCGTGCATTACAAGGACCAAGTTGGGTAATGATTTGAGAATTAAATTAAGACGATTATTTAATTGAGAGAATGACAAATAAATCTCAGCAGCCGTAAAATAAACAAATATTTCCATTAAAAATTCCACAGGTAAATCTTCTAATCGAGTAATTATTGAATAATCCATCTATCTCTCTCTCTGCAATTCTTATATCATTACAAAACAAACTGAACACTGAGGTTGCTTTTATAGTTCACAGTAATCATTATGTCTTTATTCCACCCAAATTCACCAATCCGATCAAAGCGCTGACAAGACGTTCAGTTAAGATGAATGTAAACAAGCAATTTGTCTGCATAAGTGCATTTAATCTCTATTTTCCATCATTGTGTACCCTATGTCAATGTGCTAAATCTTTTTACTGAGACCTTTATAGGCAAAACTTGAACATTAAATTATTTATGATATACTGATTTGACGATCTCTAAATCGGCTTTGATGACATTAAGATTTTAATCGATTTCGAATGTAAATCTGATTACAAATTAAATAATTGAATTATTTTCGAAAACAGTAATTTGCATCAAAAAATTTAACTAGATTATTTAGAATAAAAAAAAAATATCGTCATTTTTGCATGAATATTTCTCACTGGTCAGTTGTTAAATAAAATAATTTTTCAATTGATCGATATCTGTAAATGAATTTCTCTCTCGATAGCGTGAATAGTAACATGATCAAACGAGATCGTTTTCAATTTACATGTCGATCAAATCAACAACAGAAACACATATATTACCTTAAGTATTCCCTTTTTAGTATCGCAAATGTTCGACTTAGATAATTGTTGATGATTAATTGGAGTACAAATTATTTTTGGTACAGTTGTTATTGGAATCTGATGAAAATTAATACAAATGAAAAATATTTCCGAGACTTAATTCTTTTGTGGGTTTTATTTCAAAATGATTTTTAACTTTTTGAAAAAGAAAATCTCCGACAAAACGCTTGAAAAAACAACTGTACATGCGACATCTGTGAAATACGTAAAAAAAAACCTATTGAGAAATATTAAGAACGATGTTCATTCAAGAGAGCTGGATATACCGTCAAAACAGGGAAATTATTCAGTTTCAAGCAGAAATGATTTATCTCCAACAAAGTCAACGAGAAATACTTTTTTAAAATAACGATAGCCATGTTTCTTGAATCCGTTTATACCAGAAGAAATAAATTATTCTTTCTTTCGATTTCTTCTTGATATATATTACTTTATGTAGATTGAAGCATTCCTTCCTAAACAGGAGCCATTTCCACTTCGACTGATTCGATTGTCCATTGCTGTGTTGGTAACCACGCATTGAAGGTGTGGATGTAGCTTGAAAATAGAATACCCACACCCACACCCATCAAAAGAATGCATTTCAATTTCGAATATCTATTTACATTCAAACTAAAGTAAGGAATTAAATTGATCAAGAGGTTAAAAATCTGTTAGATATCCAGATTCGGGATCGATTTGTTGATGATATTCTAAATGAAATTCTTCTACTTCAGGCAAATAATCCGAAATTAATCCTTCCCATCGATCACCATCAAGATAACCTTTATCTTCAAAGAAAGTAATAACACGTAAAACTTTCAAGTTACATTTCATTTCTATAATAAACATCTCAAATTCATCAAACTTAAATAAAAAAGTTCAAGTGTATAAGATATTAAAGTACAATTATGATTAATAACAAAATATTCAATAGTACGGAATTGTTCATCGGTAGCAATTGCCAATAGGACAGATATGAAGAATCTATCCGCTGAACATTTAATATATTTCAATTTAGGAAAAGCAAAAATTAGTTGATAAACTTCACTTAAGTCACTTAACACCCATTCCATATCGATTGTTAATGAGGAGAGTGACTCAAGACGATCAAATGACGAATCAATTGAAAACGACGAGCAAAATTCATTTTTCTGTAATGATAACCATATATGAAATAAAACTATTTGATGTTATTATTAATTAAGTAAAAGTTGTTTATAAATATTCGTATATAGTTCATTAGTTGTTGAAATCGATGATTAAGATTTGAAAATACTTTAAATATTTTACAAGCATCAAGATATTCAAATACCTCATAGATAAACTCATTCGATAAAATTTTAATCCAACTTATCGACATATTAAAAATGAATACAAACATATGATCTAGAAGAAAGAATGAAAAATCTAATAAGGAACATTTTTTGAATGTGAAGTTATAAAAGTTTTTATTAAACAATTTCAAACAAGAGTAATTACAACACATGATCTACTAATTATTTCCATTGTAGATAAATTTTATCCATAACGTGTTTAATCGTAAAATCAAAACGTAAGTTTTTATCACCAATCATTTTCTCTAATTTTTCAATCATTTCATCATGTGCTTCTGGAATAGAAAAACATAATAATCGAAGTAAAGAATTGGATACATTCTTAATTTCTGTCAAAATAAGTTTTGTTAATAATTGAGCATACATATAATTAATACATTTGATTTGAAGATGATTAATACGAGAACAAATTAAAGTTAACATATAAACTTCATTCATGTCTTTCATATTATCAAAACAAATTTTTTTAATTTGATTTTTAGGTAATAGAATATAAAGAAATTCAATTTCATCATCTGATAAATTTCCTTGTTGTAAAACTGATAAAGAATAAATTTTTAATGTAGTAACTCCAGGTAATAAACGTAAAATTTCCATTAATTTATCGGTAAAGATTTTTTTATGAATTTCTAAATGATAAATTTGTGTTAGAGTTAAAACATGATTAATATAATCATGTATGAACATTGTCTTCGTCCATCGTTCAGGACATACTTCATCTAGACTAAGTCGAATAGATTTAGATAATTGATCAGAAGAATTAATCATGTTATGTTCTGTATCATATTCATACCATCTTTTTCTAAAACAAAAAAAAAAAATAAATTATTCAATATAAAAACTTCTTTTTTTGATATACTGATATGGACGGATTGAATAAATGATATTTTCATCTTCAACTTCAATTTCTAATATCCATCCTCGTTGAAGCCAAAATGATGAAACAAATTGATCACGTTGTCCAAAATACATTGGAGTTTGATAATTTTCTTCAAAATATGCACTATATTTAAAATAAAATTTTTCTAATTGAGGTAATTTTGTTAAAATAAAATTTTCCCATCGATTAGCATCAAGATAAGCAATATCTTCAAATATTGTTGTCAATGATAAAACTTTTATTTTTGAATTTAATTTACTAATGAATATTTCAAATACATTAAATGACATTTTTCTATATATATGAATAGAAAGATGTATTAAATTTGGTAATATCATTGGTTTAATACTTTTAATATTTACTTTTCGATTTGTAAGACTTAAAAATTTTAAATGATGAAGATTAGGAGTATAAGATGTTATAGCAGAAAGTTCATCGAAAGCACAAGGATGTTCCATAATAAGATGTTCGATAGAACTTATTTGTTCATTAATAACAATTGGTAATGAAATAGTTATATCATCACTGGATTCCATTGCTCTAAAGTTTATATATTTTAATTTTGGTAAGTTGAAAATTAATCGATAGATATTACCAAGATCTTTTATATTAGACCATATTTCGATTGTTAATAAGAAAAGACGAGATAAACAAGTTAATGTTGGAAGAAGTGAAATTAATACATCTGATTTAATTCCATAAAAAACAAGAGATTCAAGACAATTAAATGATGAATCAATAGTAACTGTTGAGATAATTTGATTAGTATTTTCTGATGTCCATAAATGAATTGAAAATATTTGACCTTTGTTGAGATGTAAAATTTGTTGGTAATTATTCATAAATATTTTTTCTGATTTTGAATCATCAAGTTTTAGTTTTAATAGAAGTGATGAAGAATTAATTAATTTTTGAAAACGATAATTAAGATTTGAAAAAGCATAATAGATTTTACAAGCATCAAGATATTCGAATATTTCATAAAACAATTCATTAGATAAATCTTCAATTGAACTTATTGACATTTTAGATAAAAATTTAACTTTATTTTGAATGTAGATAATAAAAATGAAATGTTATTGGAATAAGTCAATGTAGAACGAATGATCTAGAAAAAAAAGAATGAAATACATGCACATGTATGTTTTTCGTTATTCTTTGTTAACAACAGAGAATGATTATTTTTCTTTTCTCTAAAGAATATATCTGATGAATCATGTCCACTTTTCTTGTTCATCTTAAATAATAAATAGGATATGAATTAATTGTTATCCTAATTAAGTTCTTATCAATAAAAATATGATTCTTTTCTATCATTATCAAGTTGAATTGATATATGACAAAAAAAATTGTATACAGAAAAAGAATAAATAATTTTTAATTTTATTAAAAAGTTTTATACAAGAACAAACATAAAAGTCATTTCCATTGCAAATAAATATTTTCTATTATACGTTTAATTGCATAATCGATTAGTGAATTTTTCCAAATTAATCATTTTAGTTAATTTTTCATTACAACAAGAAAACACAATAATCAAAGTTGACAATTCGATTTTGTCACTGATCTTTGTTAAAATAACTCGTAGAAATAATTCAATATCCATATTATTGAAAAAATCTACTTCGAGATATATCATATGAGGACACAAACCAATTAAAAAATAAACTGTGATAATGACATAGAAGAAATTTGTAATGAATCAAGTTCTGGTAATAAATATAATATGTACCATTAAAGAGTTTGCTACGAATTTTCAAATGATAAATCGGTACTACAGCTAAAATATAAGGAATTGTTTCGCTTAACAAATCAAAAAACATTGTCAGTCGAAGAACTCGTAAGAGCAATTCGTATAGATTTAGAAAGTTCATTATGTTGTGTATTATCTTCATACCATCGTTTTCTAAACAACAAAAGATAAATTCTTCAATGTAAAAAAAATTCTGTTTTATATATACTCATATAGCTCGATTAAATATATAATGCGATCATAATCAATTTCACTTTCTAATACCCATTTTCATCCAATCCAAAATGATGATGCAAATTGATTTGATTTTCCGAGATACGTTGGAGTTTCATCATCAGTGTTAATAAATACATTATATATTAAATAAAATTTCTTTAATTGAGGTAAATATTTCGAAATTAATTCCTCCCAACGATCAACATTAAGATAAGTCATATCATCCGATAGACTAGTTATTTAATAATTGTGGTCGTGGAGAAGTACCTCGTTTAATATTTGCTGCAGCTGGCCAAAAATATGAAGATATTCATTATGAAGATGATGAATGGTTATTACATAAATCTGAAATGCCTATGCTTGAAGTTGATAGTACAAAATTACCACAATCAAAAGTTATTGCTCGTTTTCTTGCTAATTCGATGAACAAGATGATGCTAAAAGAGAAGAACTTTCTAAGTATTTACAAAATCTCGATGTTTTACTTAAAGAATTTGATAATGGTGGTTATCATTCTTCGTTGGTAATCATTTAACATGGACAGATTTATATTTTTATAACTTTTCCGAGACTATTCTTGGAATTAATGAAAATTGTTTAGATAGTTATCCATTATTAAAACAAAATCGTGCAGAAGTTGAAAAACAACCAAAAATTGCAGACTATCTTAAAAATCGATCTAAAACATCAATTTAAACAAACATTATTGATGAATATTCACAGATGATGTTTTCTGGTTCGTTTGATTGAACATTTGGCACAAATACTTTATCAAATGTATGAAACGCCATACTTGCTCGATTATAACTTTTTTTTCTCACATAATTGACAAATAAAATGATTAGCACATTGAAGACATTTCTATATAATCAAGGAAGGTGGAATTTGTACAACACACGATGTGCATATAGTCGGCATTGTGTAGAAAAACAAAAGTATCGATTTAGTTTGATTACCTATACTTTTTATATGCAATATAGATAATGTGTTTTGTGTTCACTGAAGTGAAGCAGTAGGAAGAAAACCAAGAGACAGATTTGTCAAGAGAAAAAAAAAACGTTTTTACAGAAGTGAGATATAGTAATGTTTTTTTACGATAGAACATTACTGTCAGCAGTGTCGAAATTTATTACAAATATTTGTTTAATTAAGTTCAGGAGATTTGAACCATTTTCTTAACTTATAGTTATGTTTTGTAATGGGCAACATTAGCATATATATAATAAAT